ATGTAAAGAAATATCTGTTAGCCAATAATGGGATATGAATATACAAGTAAAGAAAAAGCAAGTATCACCATATAAAGCATGGATTAAAATAATATCATCAATAATATACATTAAGATATGGAAATCAAAATACTATTCTTATATTGATCTAGTATCTCACCCTAGTAATGCTCATCGAAATAAATTAATAGATAGGGCAAGAATAGATATATTTATTAGATATAATGATTATACTATAAAGCAATTATGGATATATACCCCGAATAAATATATAGTGATAAAGATAAGCAATTATATATTCTTTAAAGATTTATTAGAAAATAAAATAAATCTGAAACTGTACTCTATTACTTTAAAAAGAAAATTCGTAGAAGGATAGGAAATATAGAATATTTTATTAAAATAATAATTAATAGAAAAACCTTATAAAATCACAATTGAAATTATAGATATAATATCTATAGAATCTATAATTACCAAACTAGTTGAATATAATTTAGAGAATGAAGTCCCAAATCTTATTGAAATATTTATATCAGAATTAGCAACTATTCTATAAATCATTATTCTATACATGATACAATCATTGAATACCGATCTAATAAATATGATTATAGAGATCAAAGAGAATATTAGATTAATAATAAAAAAAAGATTAAGAAAATAAAATAATAAAACTGATTTTCAAAATACTAAGCGTTTATATATATTTCTCATTATTATTACAAACTTAAAACCGAATCAAGAGTTCTTTACAGAATAATAAAGTAAAGATTATATATTCATTTCAAAAATAATTATTATAAATATAATAGCAAAAAATATATTAATCCCGAAAATATATAAAAAGATAATAAGTAATTCAATCTATAGTAAACAATAATAAACAGCTATTAATCAGAAAATCAAAGAATTGGAAAAGAATAAGATATAGTAACAAATCTATAACAATAAAACGAATAACTTAATTAGTACAAAATAAATATTCATAATAAAATTAAATGTAAATGGATTATTAGAATGGTTCAAGGCTAGACTAATAGTAAGAGGTTTTATACAAAAGTATGAAGTTGACTTTTTCAATATATTTATATTTACAGTATAATCAGTAACAGTTTGTTCATTTCTATTAATTATAATATTATAAAACCTTAAGGTATATTATTTCAATATAAAGAATGTATTTATTAAAGCAAAGCTAAAAGAAAAGATATTCCTATTCATATTATAAAAAATTAATATTAAACAAAAATATATTCTTGAAATCCTTTATAGCCTATATAAACTAAAGCAAGCAGCTTATAATTAAAATAACCTTATAAAGAAGTAATTTATCAAATAGAATTTTATATAAAATTTAACTAATCTATACTTATTCATTTATTCTAACAAAAAGATTATGGTATTATTATATATAAATGATCTTTCTATTGTAATACAGAACTTAAATAATATATTGTAATTTAATAAACAATTTACTTTTATCTTCAATGTTAAGAATCTGAGGGAGATTGAAAACTCAAAGCTTCTAGGTATAAGAATTATTAAAAACAGAAAAAACAGAACTCTATATATTAATCAAAAATAATATTTTGAGAAAATATTAAATAAATACGAATTTATAAAGAAAATATTTAAACCTATTTCAATATTAATAAATAATTATGAAGTACTTCAACCGGCTCAAAAGAACAACAAATAAGCAGATCCCATTAAATATAGCTATATAATCGGGGAGTTGATATATATAATAGTATATTTAAAATTCAATATAGTCTTTGATTTAAAAAAACTTAATTAATATATAAAAGATTTAGTAGAGTTCTATATAAATTAATTGTAAAAAGTGATACACTATTTATGAATAACAATCAATTATAAGCTGTATTTCGGATCAAAGAAAATTCAAAATCTAATAATCTATTTTAATATAGATTACACTAATAATATGATTGATAGAAAAAGTATATTAAGAGTAATTGTATTTTTGGGAGGAGGATCAGTATTCTGAATGAATCGAAAGTAGAATTCTATATTAATATTAATAATTAAATCAGAATATATAATTTAATTGATTATAATAAAATAAGGTTAGTAATTAGCCCAAATACTTCGAGATATGGAATATAGGAAATTTGTTGTAGAAAATAGATTCACTATTGATATAAAGGGAAATAATCAAGGAATTATAATTCTAATCAAGAATATACAATTAATTAACAAATCAAAACATATCGATATTGTATATTATTATATATAGAATCTCAAGCAAAAAGGAAAGGTTGATATTAGCTACATTCCTATAAACAAAATAATAATAGATAAATTAACGAAATTATTAACTAAGAATGTATTCAAAAAGTTTATAGAAATACTAGAAATAATAGATTATTATAATTGATTTAAAAGGAAGTATTGAAAGGTATGGTTTATATGATTATAGAATAAAGAGAGCTAGCCCCAATTAATATTAGTAAAAGCTCTGTTTTATATAGAATTCTTTCTTTTAGAAATTGTAGAACAGATTTAGTATACTAGTTCTTCAAATACTATTACATTCTACCCTATGCTTCTTATTTTATTCTTTGTAGAGAGTTATACTTAAAATAATAAATAATATAATTCATTATTCTTTATCATTTAATTAAATTTTTAATTAAATTAGATTACAATTAATAAAAGTATTATAAATTGAAATTGAAAAATCTAACATTTAGGTGTTTTTGATAAAGTACTGAAATTTAAGGTTTTGGAAATACATTATTAAATTGAGTGTAGTAGTAGGGGGTCTCACGAAGATTCAGTCTTTGGCGAGGATTAACGACAATTGCTCGATATTATTAGCTGGTTAATACCTAGGTAATTTATAGCCAGATTTATGGCGAATTTTATCTCGAGCCGAAGAAAATGCAGATTATCGCGAACCATTCAAGAAGGTCATATCAAAAGGTTATTTTTCCTATGTCTATTCCATCCTTTACTCGTAAGGGCATTGCCATCATCATATTCCCCTGGGAGGTCCGATTTAATGCCAAATACTATACAAATCAAGCTACTAATAGCTGTTACTTACAAACCAATAAAGTGGAGATTTCGTAATTTCCCGATGTATAAAAACATTGCCACGGGTTCTTCTATCTACACGATCAAACATACTTGGCCAACTAGGAAATTCGAAAATGAGAAGCCCCAAAAGGGGGCAGGTCCTCAAGATAACGAAGCTGGGTGCTTTTGGGTGAGAGGTGAGCACCTCGAAGGTGCGATGCCTTGCTATGGCCTTCCCCCATCATACTCGTATTTTTGAGGCCAAGCACCTGGCGCGTGAAGGTGGTGAGATGAAGGCATATGCGGGTCTTGAGCAGCAATACCACGACTCTCATCATCGCCCACGGAATATCGAGAAGAATTTGTCGCTAATAGTCTCCCTGCCCTGCTCTTTCCTTTGCCTTCTTTCTTCATCCTGTTTCTCGTAGATCTTTCCTAGCTGACCTGCAACTTGTTCACCAGCTTCGATTTCGGCCTGAATTGCTCGTTCCTCGACTAGTCTCTCATCATCGTTCAGTCCTTCAAGACGCTTCTTAAATGAAGCTTGTACCTTCGGTGAAAGATCAGATGCCTTGAGCTTATTATTTTCTTGTGCAGAATCCGATTGACCAGGTCTTGATTTTGATATGAGCGGAGGAAATATAGGCACAGGTCTTCCTTCTGCTTTTGCTTCTTCAATCTGTTTCTCTTGGTCAATCATTCGATGATATAATGTATCGGCATGCATTTGGATCTGCTCATCGACTGCAGGTGGACGATCGTAGGTTGATAAGTAGCCTAAAGCTTTCAAGAATTTCTATACCAATTAGAATTCGAATTTCTCATTTTTGGAGCGTTCAAAACTTACACCTTGCATAGTATAACATCTTTCAAGCTTCCTATTCTCCTCTCTGCACATAGTTAATCGAGCTTGCCATCCTCCTGAACGAAAACACTCATTCACATCCCATTGTTCCAAAGCGCAATTCTCCAAAGCTGCCCTTCCAATCTCTGCCTTTCTATATTTATATCCGTCGATAACATCTTGAATCTTTTCGGCATCCGACTTAGCTGCTTGCTCAACTTCTGCTTGTGGTTGGTATGTTTTCCATAAATGTGCGTAGCGTCCGTCTTGGTATAAACTCTGCGAAGGCACACTGGGTTTTGTAGGATCCTCAGTCGTACTTGTCGATGTGAGCTCCGGCGTTTTTGTTTGCGACGAAACCGTTGTATCCGCAGATTTTGTAGAATCGTATTTGACTGGTGATTCTTTTTTAAGAAACTCTCGTAAACTAGGATCGAGATTCTTTAAAGGATCTTGGGATTTATCCTTGTCGCCATCATTTGAATCACCCCAAAACCAACCCATTTTGAATCTTGTGAATCTTTGAGAAACGCGGGGGACCAAAATTTCCAGAGCTGGAGCACCAGAGAGCTTGTTCAATGGGGTGCTTAGTCATCACAGTGGTCAATGGGGAAAATTAGCCCAAAACCTAGCGATGGCGTGTTAGGAACAACCTTTGCGATCTACCAGTACATCAAAAAAGCATTACAATGATAAATCACTGGGACCAAGTTATAAAATTTGTTGTAATGATGTTCAATTTCTTGATTTTGTTGTTTCGATTTTCTGAATTTCTCAGAACATCATCATTAGCTTCTTTTCCTACATCAATGCTATGTATTTCCCTCTACAACCGACGTATGCTTTTGTTAAACGAAATATTCACTCCAAGAGTAATATATATCAAACCCCAAGAGCTGTATATCGATCAAATGATTTATCCAATCCAAGAATGGTATGTATCGAGAAAACCCCCAAAGAGCTGTATATCGATCAAATGATTTATCCAATCCAAGAATGGTATGTATCAAACAAACCCCAAGGGCCGTATATTTAACAAGCAAGCAATACACAGTAGTTTCCACCCATATTTCCCTCGGACATACAGGTGGCCAATTGACGCTTCTCTAGCTCACATGTTGTATGGACACTGTGGAAGCGGATGGTCCTTCCCACATCGATAGCAGCCCTCCTTACACATCGAGCCGTCATGATCACTACCGCCGCAGTTGAAGCAACCCGGATCGAAGTATTGATACTCTCCAGTGGTCCGGAATTTCTTTTCTTGATCGATAAAAACACCAGCTTTTCTACCATTAGGCAATATCTTCGGCTGAATGGTTGGGGGTAAGGGACCCTCAGCTTTCTCGCAAATTGCTTCTGTTTTAGCACGATCTTTCAAACCCTTTGGCGAACTTGGATCACCAAGAAGGTTTCCGGTAACGATGACGACAGGCTTAGGTGGCCTCGGGATTGAGGTAGAAGGTTGAGAAGGCTCTTCTTCCTCCTCGTTTTTGATCATGTTATCAAGTGCTCGTTCAGGCTGGTGTGGTGCTCCAGAATGGCTCATACGTGGTTGGCGATAAGTGTCTGACAACTGATTTACTACGCTCCGTGAATCTGTCTGAGATATCCCATTGTTTGTGGCTCTGGAAAATCCACCAAACACAGACTCTTCTTGTAAAGGTTGAGTCAATGCATTTAGCGGAGGACGAGGTTTGAAATCACCAAATGTAGTAGTTACTGCGTTCAGAAGTACATTTGGCTGCTGTACAATGCAGCCATTGGCGCCATCAAACTTGGATTCCTGTTTTATTGGTAATCTTGGTTGTGATTGATGAGGTTGTAGTGAACCCAAGTGAGCATTACCCGCAAAACGATCATAACCACCGAATATCGATTCCTCTTTAGGCAATACCTTGGGCGGTTGTCTAGAGACAGCAGGTTTGAAGTTATAAAATGTAGAAGTATTGCTATGTAGAGTTGCATTTGGCTGTTGTGTAATAGAGCGACTAGGGCTACCAAATATAGATTCCTGCTTCGATAGAAGTTCGGGCTGTGATTGATTAAATTGTGGTGAACCCAAGTGAGCACTACCCGTAAAGCGATTGAAGCCACCAAATGTAGATTCCTGTTTTATTGGAGGCCTTTGCTGTGATCCAGGATTGGGATTGCCAGGCTTAAAGTTGGCGAATATAGATGTGCTTGGCTGCGATTGCTGGGCATGTGGTGCATACATATTGGCTCCGAGGTGATTGCGTTTTGGTGAGCCTGATCGATTAATATTTTTTCGATCTGGATAAGGGTCCTGAGACTCACTTCCACGTTTGAGTGGATTCGATTGTTGAGAAGGTGTGTTTCGGTTCCAATAGCCTTGTGGAAATCCAGGTTGTGGTGGTGGCACATTATTTGGGCCAAATACGATTACTTGCAGACCAAATTGGTTTGTTGGTATGTAGATATTTCCACTTTGGAAGTTGAAATTTCGCTGTTGCCAAGGACTGCCACGACCACGGCCACGGCCACGGTCTAAGTTTCCACCTCTATATGGAGGTGTTTGATGTGTGAAACGAGCTGTCAGGCCTCTGCGATTATTTTCATTATTGATGTCACCTGAATGCGAATCTTCGAACCATTTACTGGTAGGGGGTTCGGGCTCGGGTTGACCCTCAAGCATTTTTGCAATTCTCTCAATAGTTAGAGACGCACCTCCCTCTGAGTTTGACTGTGAATTGTATGGTTCGGAATTCATCTTGAATCCTTGTCACCGAAGACTTATTTGATAACGTTCTTTTTATTGAGAACTTGTTGAATGTGCTTCGTGACTTGTGACTGGTGACTTGTGACTGGTGATTTGTGGTTTGTGATTGGTTTTTGAACCTAACCTATATGCTTTGGATGTGCTTGGAAGTGTAATTGGGAGAGGCGATTACGAAATTCATGACCAACGTATCTAGTGTATCACTTATCTTTCGCACTAGGGAGGAGCTCGAGACCTCACGATAATACTTAGCTTAATCTTGTGTGTGAAGTTTATTTTGTATTATTGGAGCTCAAGGCTCGGATTTCTACAAATGAATATCCTCCCAATCTCCCCATCCATGGCAATGTGTGATATTTCAGTACCAAGTACCTTTGTTACTCAGTAACATTTTATTTTCGATCATCTCAGTTACCCAGTAACCTGACCGTTTTCACACACATGCACAAAAGAACCACTTCCTCCACCTCAAATTCCCCACCTCAAATGCCCCCTCGCTCATAGATTGTTAAGCAAACATATGGTTGAGGGGGAATGAGAGCCTAGACATCACCATCCTCACCATCACCAGAAGAATTAGCCGCAGGATCAGCAGCAGGGACATCGGAAGACGTGACCGTAGGATCAACAGAAGAAGCAACAGCAGAATCAGCGGAGACATCGAGAGATGCTTCAGCGTCTTGTGCAACATCAGAGTTATCCTTATCCGCAGCTTTTGCATTTTTTTCTCTCCTACGCTCCCTCTTAAGTTGGTGCTTGTTCTTTTTCTTTTCCTCCTTGGTCTTAGTTCTTTCCTGCTCGGTCTTTAACTGTTCCTGCTCAGCCTGCAGCTTTGATTGCCTAAGCACTCGGATGGCCAATTGTTCTGCTTCCTTTGGAGGCATCGACTTGAGGATATGGTCTTCGAGAGGTTCATCAGTCAATTGCAGTTTGGTGGCATTGGCTTTCTGGGATTCTATTTGCTCTTGAAGTTGCTTTTTGAGAGCCTCCATAGATTTCTCAACGATTTCTTGCATTTTCTTCTCTAAGCGACCCTCCAAGAGCTTCTGGTATTCTTTGTGATCGTAGTATTGGCCAGTCTCCTCGTCGTAGATGTTTCGCCCCTGTGAAGAATCAGACAGATCAGTATCATCTTCTTCCGTTTCATTTGCCCAGTCAGAAGGTGGAATAGGGGTCAGCATGATACGATGAGCCTCTTCCCGAGAGATTGAAGAAAAGTCATTGTTACGTACCGCATCCTCTGCTTTTTGGCGTTCAGCCTTCTTCCGAGCAGTCTCGTCCTTGATGTCCTTTTGGCTTGGCTTTAGGACAGGATCAAGATATTGAGCTACGACAAGACCAGCACTCGGGATAGCACTCTGCTTCTGAGCCAATCGCCCAGCTTGACCAAGTGACAAAGACCCTGGTGTTGGAGCTTCAGTTGAAGCGGACGTGGTCACTACTTGGCGATCGTGAGAAGGACGACCAGCATTTGGATCGGCAGCAAAGTGTTGTGCAATTCCATACTTCTTGCCCGTGTAGACAGGAAATGGTGTATCTACCTCAGCTACTTCATATGGTGGCGGAGCTACAGCGTGGGCTCGAACAGGGTTCTTAGGAACCTCAAAACTGTTGGTATCTTGAAGATCTCTGAGCTGAGGTGGTAGCGTATCGAGACTAATGTAACGTGGTCGAGATATGAAGGCAGGTTTATCGTGGATATTGACTCCACTTCTAACAACTATAAAAAGAGGTCAGTACCAATAGATGAATTGGAAAAGATTATTTCTCACAGAAATGCCACCATGTAGTGGCCGCGATCAAGTATTGATGCGTCTCCTTGCTGTAGCCCTCAAAGACACTTCTGACATCTTTCTTGATGACTTTGACCGCATCTAGCCATTGATCTGGGGTTGCCAATTCCCTACTGGGATCAATAACCCTCTCTTGTATATCATAGAACCATTGACAATGAGACTCGTTGGCCTTTTGGTCTTCTTCGCTCATTTGTGACGACATTTTGACTGATTCTCCAATTTATTAAGGAGAAAAAAGGGAATTGGGGTGGAAAATTGGAGAAGAAAGATGATTCAATTTATTGAATTGATGTGTATATGTGTGTGTGTGTGTGTATATGTGTGTGTGTGTGTGTGTGTGTTTGTGTTTTTGTTTTTGTTGTTGTTGTTGTGTAGTCAGAAACCAAGATCGAAGAAGATTTTAATATTCTGAAATTCTTTTGTGCGAGGTTTCCAAGGTGATATGGTCCTAGCGAGCCGAGATATATTGACTTTTGATTTAAGTGAAGGTTGAAATCTGAAGATTTATGACACCGGGCAACGCAAGGTTCCGGCCAATGTCAAAAAAATTATATGACGGCCTTCACCTCTGAGTTTCATAACCATCTCATCGATTAGATGAAGGATCTTGATCAGCAATAGGAGCAAGTGCTTTTGTGCCAATTATCCTCAACTCTTGTTCGTCTTTCTCATACAATTATGACAGGTGATGGCAATGATCTCTCTAGATCCTGTATCTTATATCTCAATTACTGCCTGTATCGACTGGAGAGTCCTCATGGCCTCTCACACGTTCAACACGATATATACTACGAATAATTCTTCTATATTCGTCTTATCTGTTGTATTCCCTATAAAATGACAGATCAATCTCTGAAATCAACTCATAGTTTGAAATCCGATCATAGTCTAAAATCCATCCATACATTGTAATGGAGGAAGTGATAATAGATATATGAAGTATCAGATTGAGGACAGACAATGAATGGTCTCGAAAGCAGGATGCTTTTTCGTTCTGTATATTGAAAATCCTAGAAATAGATACACAAAATCTCAGATTCAACTAAACAATAAGATGACTTAAAAGCAAGACGCTTTTTTGTTCTGTATTCAAACTAATAAGATCGTATCCGTATTTGAGGGGATCACAATTAATGTCAAGTGAAGCATCTCACATTCAATAATACTCAATATAGAACCCAAGTTACCATCTATTTTTCTAATTTTTAAAGCAAAACGCCAAACTCTCAAACTCCATAACGAATCCTCAAACACCAAATCCACCTATTTTTTTGTTTTCTCCTTCTGGACCGCGATACGGCTCAATCACTCATAATAGAACCTACCATCATCTTCTGGCGCTTCTATCATTCTCCTGTCTGTTTTTCTACTTATTTGACTCGCTCTACTGGGGGACCTGTCCCTGGAATTGGATCTGTGAGACCTATGTGAACGCTTGTGACTAGATTTAGGTGGCCTTGGAACCTCAGTTTCGTTTCCGGAATCAGATTCCTCATCATACTGACTACTCTGATGTGTAGCTTCTGACTTTGAACTTCTTGACGAAGAACTTGTTTTGCTACTTTTCTCGGAACGAGCACCTCTGTCTTTCTCGCGTTTCTCGTGTCTCTCGGAACGAGAACCACCACTTCTGTCTTTCTCGCGTTTCTCGGGTCTCTCGGAACGAGAATCACCATTTCTGTCTTTCTCGCGTTTCTCGGGTCTCTCGGAACGAGAATCACCATTTCTGTCTTTCTCGCGTTTCTCGAGTCTCTCGGAACGCGTATCACTTTCCCTGGCTGTTGAGGGAGGCCCAGTCTTTTCACTGTGTCTCTCGCGTTTCTCGTGTCTCTCGGAACGAGAATCACCATTTCTGTCTTTCTCGCGTTTCTCGGGTCTCTCGGAACGAGTATCACTTTTCCTGATTGTCGAGGGAGGCTCAGCTCTTCTAATACTATCTTCTATCTTGCGTCTCCCAGGATCCTCACGTGGTTGACTACTGTTTGAGGTTTGGCCGTTCCGCTTAGGGTCGTGTCTATCCTTGACAATACCGATATTTCTACCTTCCTTTGTGGGATCGAGTACGATTTTGGATGTAACACTTGGTGGCGGCGGCAGTATAGATTCCGCATATTCTTCAAGGTCGGGATCAGGTTCCATGCGCCTTAAGGCCTCTTCAAATTCTTCTTTCCTTCTTCTTTCTATATCGGCAGGCCTATCACATGAATATTAGTCTTCGTGAAGTTCAACGCAACCAATATAGATTGTCAAATGGTACGGGGGGCTATAACTTACTCCTTATCCTTAGTCTTTGATGTTTTGCCTGATCTGCTACTTCTACCTACATCAGATTGCCGTAACGTTAGATCTGATCGATGTCCTGTCCACGAACTCTTCTCTGTCCGTTCTGATGGTGACACATCTCGCCTTGATCTATCATCTCGTCTTGATCTATCATCTCGTCTTGATCCACCACCGTGGCTTGATTCACCATCTCGTCTTGATCCACCACCGTGGCTTGATTCACCATCTCGTCTTGATCCACCACCGTGGCTTGATTCACCATCTCGTCTTGATTCACCATCTCGTCTTGATCCACCACCGTGGCTTGATTCACCATCTCGTCTTGATTCACCATCTCGTCTTGATTCACCATCTCGTCTTGATTCACCATCTCGTCTTGATCCACCACCGTGGCTTGATTCATCATCTCGTCTTGATCTATCATCTTGTCTTAGTTCAACTCTCCGGCTAGCATCGAAATCACGATACTCATCGTCATGGTATTCCTCATCACCGTTGCCATCATTACCGTGGCGAACTTCTCTTCCCTTGTTATCCTTGTAAAGATACCCTATACTATCTTTCTTTTCCCCTGTTTTTTGATCAATTGTTGATTTTCGGGTAAGCTTGAAACTTTTTGACTTGTCCTTCTTCGCCTTTTCTAATTTTTCTCTTCTTTTTGCTTCTTGCTCCTCCAGTTCCTTCCTCTGGTCTCTTAGTTGTTTGAGTTTTGGATCACCTTTAGTTGCGATAATCTCGGCAGTTAAGCCAAGAAGTCCAGAAGGCATGATGGTTTGCTGCTATAAAGGAGACTAGGTTGTGTGATAGATGTTATGTTGTTGTGGCAGTATAGGGAAGATTTGAAAAACAACCTTGATAATGTTGTTACTTTGATGCTTTAGATTTGTTTATCAAGATGATGATTGAGCTGGTGATTATATTGAGTGTGTTGTATATGGAATAATATCAACTATGCAAGATACTTCAGTACATATATACTCATACACATCATACACACCCGGTCATCCCAACCATAAATTCCAACTAAAGTTTCCCGTTGAAACCAATATTGATGTCAAATAACTCGTGATGACCTGGTCTCTATTGCAATCTATTACTAAAAACATGCCATAAAGCAGAAATTTGGAGACCGGAGGCAACTCATCATGTAGTTGAAGCAGGGTTGAGGTTACCAATTGGGTCATGTTCAAAAACACCACTCATGTATAAGCATATGTTATGGCCTGGCCTAGAGTTTGGTTTCGATGAATTGATGCATGGCGAAGCAAGTTATATTGGAGATTATCCATTTCTTGGACTGAAATATGGTGAAGCAATCAACACATGTCCTTAAGTGGCCGTTGTGTTGGCCTCTGGGCAATCATCGGGGTCATGCTACAGGCAACGATTAATCGCTTCTTGGAGGCCTAAGATATTATTATTCTATTCACAGGTTTTGACTTTTGGGGCTCCTGGTCCCTAGACCCCTTTTGAGCGCTAATGGCGCGAAAATTCCACGATTCAAGTTAGGTCATGGCCGCGACAACCACTAACTTTAGGCGCAGCGAAACACAACAGTTTATTGACAATTGTTTTGTAGTATTAAATAGAGCAAATATCGCGAGCTGGAATATTCTGTGAACTCCCTTTCTTCAACTGACGTTATTCAATCGGAGTTTTATTGCTACTCATGCCGTAAGCGAACACTCCCGTCTCCACGCCTGGACGCGAAATCAAGTACAACTCACTTCACTTGATTATCACAAAAGGGGACAGTGACACGTGCTCCAGAGAACTACCAGAACAAACGAATTCAGCAGAAAACAAAATTATTGAAATATAAGGAGAAGAAGAAAGAACCACGAAACTCACACATTAGATACCTAGACATAACCCATTTTCAAACTTCCTTCTCACTTCCAAAAAATTCTCGTCGAACTTTACAATCGTTCTCGAGACACCGTAGGTATGCATCAAAGCACCACAAACTTTCTATTACAAAGTCCGCAAATCAACCTCCCTCACAAATATTCGCGCACAATTGTACTTCAAATAAACCCCATAGCATAGCTTCTAATACTATATATAACGAGCTATCTCGTAAACAACCATACCTAAAACTAACCTCATCTTCTTATTCCATCAAACCCCCCCCTTCTCAATCCAATCCCATCTCATCTCATCTCATTTCATGTATTCTCAAAGCCTAAGCTTCTCCCAATACCTAATACCTAATACCTAATACCTATATCCATATATCATAGAGCAGAAATGCAGAATGAATCAAGACATCGCTTCAACCAACCAACCAATCAACCAACCAATCAACCAATCAACCAACCAATCAACCAATCAACCAATCAACCAATCAACCAATCAACCAATCAACCAATCAACCAATCAACCAACAAACCAATCCAACACGTATACGTATACACAAAACAAATCTTCCAAAATCAACAACCCACTCACCCACTCACCCACCCATTTCAAAATCTCAAACCATATAAAAAGTAATCCCACCCAAACCCCCAAATCTCCCAAGCACCCTCAAATACCCAGTTATCAATCAATCCAAAGCCTTAGAAAGGCCAAAAATATCTCATCTCATCTCATCTCCATACACTGCCTGTCGTCACTCCATCTGATGATGCATCTATAATTCTATATATATGCCGAGCCATTGAAATCCTCGATTTATTGATACAATGCATGCATGAAAAATTCCATTCAAATTTCAAAACCATGCATGAAATCATGCGAAACTCTACTTACCTACCTACTTGTAACAACAGCATTACCCTCAATATACCACCAAAAGATGTCTTGCACATGCATCAACCACTGGAGTACAGATATTCTTTCACGAGTACGATATACAGATAGGAGGAACAGTGGTTTCGACCAACTAAGCAGTGGCAACGTATAGTTTATCAATTGAGACATTCAACTTACAAAAGAATATTATGCAATCTCATAATATCCCGAGTTCCATCGTCTATAACAATCAATAAATCAATTTTTCTTCTACCATGCTAGGAATAAAAATCCACTCGAGCTATATTTACTTCGCTATGCATTTGCCTAACTACCTACTTATCCCCCCATACATCACCCGTATGCGTACCCGTACCCCTACTCCTACCAAATCATCAACATGAACTTTCCCAACCCTACTCCTCCAGCAACTTCTTCACTCTCCCAAAAACAACCTTGACACTCTCATTTCTTTCCCCCTCCAACGCCTCACTCATCCCCTTCATCATCTCACCCCTCACCTCGTCGCTCCCCTCACTCCACATACCAAAAACTCCCGCCTTCCACGCCTCTACAATCATCTCCGCCGCTTCTCCCCTCTTAATTCTAATTCCCTCGCTTCCGGCTCCACTAGCCAATTCCAGTACCTCAAAAAATTGCACACACATTTTGTAGTTATTTTCCTTTTGTGCATGAGTTCTCTTTCTCAATCCATCAAACAACACTTTGATACGTTCGTAAAGTGTTGCGCGCGTAGTTATGGTCATGAGAGGTGATTTGAGAAGGGGAGTCAGTGTTTCGATGAGCTTTGGAAGACGAGTAAGAGGTGATGGATCGAGATGTTTAATATTGATTCCTCGAAACAAAGCTTCGATGCCCGCAGTTATCGTTTCCGATTCCGTGGATTCTCCTCCCTTGCTAACTCCATCTTTCTTCCTAGAATCAGAAGTCGAAGTAGTTGTACTTGTATCCATATGATCTTCACCGCCCAAATCTTCTAACATAGGGGCGATGATATTATATATCTCATCCCACATATCTACTTCTGTTCTCGTTTCTGCATATTTTCCTAGTTCTGTAAAAGCGAATGGTCGATAGATGTCGTTATTACGTTTAGCTTCTCTGATTGCAATCTTCTTTGTCTGAGCTGCGATACTAGATTCAGCATCTAAGAATGCAGTAGATGCCTTTGCGAATTTCACAAAACTAGCCAGTACAATTTCCTTGCCCGCAAAAGTTTTGAGTGCAAGAGCCTTTTCGAGAGCAGGCCAAATGAGAGCAGATGTTTCGGCAGGAATTGTCGGCGATGTGGTTGAAGTTGTAGATTTGACAACGTCGGCTATAGTTAGAGCAGCTGTATGTTTGATAGTCCATTTAGGAGAATCAATATATTTGAGCACTAACTCATTGATTTCTCTTGTATACAATAAGACTGCTCTGCTTCCGCCTACATTTTCATCCCAAGTTTTCTCAAATTGCTTCTTAGTCGCATCGTCGAAATCATGCTTAGCGAAGAAGACAAAGGGAACTATAATATTTGAAGTCAGCGTCTGATTCAGTTTTGTATTGAACATTCGACCTGAGCTGAATGTCGGATAAATTCCAATATTAAAGAATTGTTGAAACTTACGGAAATCGGAAGCCAAAGAGTTAAAATGATCAGTGGCGAATTTGGAAATGGCATAAATCAAATCTGATGATACTTGACGGCGAATTTCATCTTCGGCATTGAAGTAGAGGTCTTGTGAATAAGTGAGAAGCCTAAGAAGTGCTTTATCAGATGCCAATCGAGAAACATAGCCAGCTGCACGGGCGTAAGATGCGCTGACAGCATTATTACGATCAAGGACAGATTTCTCAAGGATTTTAAGAAAGTGGTCGGCGTGAGGGCGAAAGGTAACGCTATGACGAGTCGCTAGACTGACAAGAACACCGCCGCAACCAACCTTGGATGGCATACCGACAGTGGTCTTGATGACGTTCTCGAGGTGAGGAACAAATTCTTTCATGGTAGGTTCGTCGATTATATCAAGGCAACGTTCGATAGCTTCCATGAGGGGAGATTGAGTAACAGCATTCGTGCGGGCACTATCAATTTTCTCTTCGGTGAGATTGTAATGAGCGGCACGTAGGTATAGATAGTCAACGCCTTCCATTTCCATAGTACTCAAAAGACCCAAGAGTCGCTCAACGAGATTGGGTACAAATGGCAAAAGTGCTTTACCACCACTCTTGATAAGTTTGAGCACGGTAATGGTTGCGAATGTTCGAACTTCTTCGGCCGAACTTTCTAGGCCTTGATCTGAAAGTAAAAATGGTAACACATCTTTCAACATTGCTTGTGCATGCTTTGAAGATGTACCTGCTTCTACTTGTCGGACAAGAATACCAGTGAGAGCCATACTAGAAATCGGAAGTCAGTAGATGTCTATCAAGGAAGGATTCCAGAGAGGCAAGTATATAGAGCAGCGCTTCCAACTCTAGAGATGAGAGAGAGAGAGAGAACACAGAATATAAGGCAAGACATCCAAAGATCATCAGACATCTCAGAATACAAAAAAACAAATACAACACATACCTAAGAGACAAAGCCGCCTTTCTCACGGATCCCTTAATATCATCCAGAACTTTGAAAGCCACATGCCAAATATCATGAAGATATTTTTCATACTTTTCGAAATCTCTACCTTGTACTAAATCAGCAATGGCAGCACAACTTGCTTCTCTTGTTCGCCATTCTTTTCCTAAAATACTTTTCAATAAGTCTGTAATAATCTCATCAAAATATTGATTAACAGTAGCATTTGAGTCTTTGACGAGTGCACTCCAAATATCATTCATGGACCGCTGTACATTAGGATTTGGATCAAATCGATATCGGTACAACTTTGGGTATAACTTGGGATCAATCTCAGACTCGGAGAGAATGTTACTCAAACCAAACCTACAAATCAAAGATTAGCGAACGATCTAAAGTTCAACATGAAAAAATCAATCACTTACCGACCAAATGCTGCTCTAGTAGACCAAG